CTTTGGGCAACCAGAGCCTGGGCTGCGCTGAGTAGAGCACTGAGAGCGGGTTGGGAGAGGAGCTCCTGCCTCTCTGCTCAGCTCTGTGGAGACACCCCGGCGTGCTGGATCTGGTGATGGGCTCCCCAGTGCAGGAGGGATGGGGACATGCTGGAGTGAGTCCAGTGCAGGGCCATGGTGATGGTGAAGGGGCTGGAGCATCCCTTGTGAGAGGAGAGGCAGGGAGAGGTGGGATGCTCAACCTGGAGAGATGGCTGGGGGGACCACATCATGTGTGTTAATGTGTAAAACCCTCGTGGAGGGAGTAAAGAGGATGCATTCAGGCTCCTCTCAGAGGAAGGTGAGCACCTTTTCCCTGTGTCCCCCCTCAGGGTTCAATGTGGAGACAGTGGAATACAAGAACATTTGCTTCACCGTCTGGGACGTTGGTGGCCAGGACAAAATCCGGCCCCTCTGGAGGCACTACTTCCAGAATACACAGGTACATGGAGCATGGGATGGTGTGGACAGGAATAAGCTCCCTCAGCTGCGGCAGGGCTGGTCCAGGATCCCTGGGACCTTATCCTGCCTGGATGAGGGGTGAGCAGCAGCAGGGAGTGCATCCGAGTCCCTGGTGTGGTGACCCCACTGGGAGCACTGGGGTGGCACATGGGTGCGTGGCCCATTGCCCCATTAGAGGGGAGTGAGGCAGAGGGGTCCGATGAGGGGCCAGCACTGTCCCCAGGTGGGGGGACTGTTTGGGGGGCATCAGGGCTGCCCTTTCCTTCGGTCAGGAGGTGCTTTCAGCCCGCCTGGGATGTCCCCATCTCCTCCATACAAGCTGCCAGCTCCAGCCTGGCTTCTCCCACAGGGTCTCATCTTCGTGGTGGACAGCAACGACCGGGAGCGAGTGCAGGAGTCTGCTGAGGAGCTGCAGAAGATGGTGAGTGATGGGGGGAGATAGCTCTGGCAGGCGATGGGTGTCCCTCACCCTCCCCCTGCTCACTCAGCCCTGCAGCAACATCCGAGTGGGTGTGAGATGAGACCTGGCTCAACACAGAGCTTGGGGTGTCCCATGTGGAGACAGGGAGACATTTAGTCCTTGATGTGGCTGCCTCAGGGGGGCAGAGCATCCTTGGGATGGGAAGCTGGGACAGAGCAGAGCGACAGAGCCTGTGAGCAGGGAGGAGGGATCCTGCCCACTCTTGTGCTATCCCTATGGTGGTCATTGTGCCCCCCACACCCCAACACCACCATCCCCTCTGTAAATGGCTGTGGGTGCTCCTGGAAAAGCATCTCGGTGCCACCAAGACCTCCAGGCAACGATGGGGGCAGGAAGGCAGCCAAGACACCGGAGCTGGAGACACCCCCTGGCTCTTTCGCCCTGTCCAGGCTGGGTCTCACTTGCTGGGGCTCACCAAGAGCTCAGCGTCCCTGCTCCCTCCGCAGCTGCAGGAGGACGAGCTGCGGGACGCTGTCTTGCTGGTGTTTGCCAACAAGCAGGACATGCCCAACGCTATGGCCGTGAGCGAGCTGACCGACAAGCTGGGGCTGCAGGCGCTGCGCAGCAGGACCGTGAGTGCTGGGGGTGCCATTCCCATCCCCATCCCTATGGGATGGGCCCATGGGGCTGCTCCTGGGTGACCTGCAGAGCCCAGAGCTCTCCATTCCTTCTGTTTTGCAGTGGTACGTGCAGGCCACGTGTGCCACCCAGGGCACAGGGCTTTACGATGGGCTGGACTGGCTCTCGCACGAGCTCTCCAAGCGCTAGCGGGGCCGGTGGCACAGGGACCAGAGGAGCTGGGGACATCTCTTCCAACTGCTCTTTCCCTTGGTTTCCCTTGGGGTTTATTATTTGGGGGGGTTGTTTTTCCGTTCTCCCCAGAGTGGCCTCGTCTCTCTGTGTTTATGGGGTAGGACTTGAAGCTCAAGGACTCTTGGGGCAGCCCCACGCGGTGATGCCCTGCCCTGGCCCTGGCAGTGCTGTGTGCTGGCCGCCCTCCCCACCTGCATGTGCTGTCTGTGAGAGCTTGCCCGCGCCTACTGCGGTGATGTGTCCCCAAGTGTCCCCGCGCCTCACCCAGAGCTGGGGCTGGGGCCTGAGTGCGGCTGGAGGCAGCAGGAAGGACCCTTCCTTTGGTATCTCCAGTTCTCTTTCTCCTGGGGAGGGCTGTGGCTGCAGAACGTGCTGTTGTACATCGGTCATTAAACACCACCACTTTGTACCCTCTGCCTGGCCTTTTTCTGCCTGCCTCCAGAGAGAACAATCATGGAATGATTTGGGTTGGAAGGGACCTTAAAGTTCTTCCAGTTCCACCCCCTGCCACAGGCAGGGACACTTCCCATCAGAGCAGGTTGCTCCAAGCCCCTGTGTCCAACCTGGCCTTGAACACTGCCAGGGATGGGGCAGCCACAGCTTCTCTGGGCACCCTGTCCTAAAGACCTCACTATGATCACAGCAGCCTCAAGCCTCAAAAGCAGCAGGGGACAAGGTAATGCTGGTGCCTTCGCTCACTGGCACAGTTCCTGAAGGATGGTTCATCCCTGTGAGATGGGTGATGCTTAGAGGTGATGGTGGAAGACCTGCACCCATCATCTCCCAGTGCCAGGCACCCTCTGCTGGGTCGTGGAGAGTCCTGTGGCACTGGGGACAGCCTTGTGCTGCCATAGAATCAACTGGGTTGGAAAAGCCCTTTAAGCTCACCCAGTCCAACCGTTCCCCAGCACTAACCCATGGCACTGAGGCCTCAGCTACACGGTGTGTGAACACTTGCAGGGACGGTGACTCCAGCACTGCCCTGGGCAGCCTGTGCCAGTGCCTGAGCACCCTTTGGGGAAGGAATTGTTCCTCATCTCCATCTAAACCTGCCCTGGTGCAGCTTGAGGCCGTTTCCTCTTGTCCCATCCCTTGTTCCTTGGGAGCAGAGCCCAGCCCCTCCTGGCTCCATCCTCCTGTCAGGCAGTTGTAGGGAGCGATGAGGTCCCCTCCTCCCTGGGGACAGCCAAGAGCAGTCTGGGGGGGGTGCTCAGCTCCATGTCCACCATACACAGCCCCCTGCACCCGCAGCAGTGTGCACTGGGGGGCTGCAGCCCCTCACCCTGCTCTCAGACAGCAGGGGAACAAAAGCCACTCTTTGTGTGTAATTTACTGCCCCGTTTAGCACCAGTTCCTCCAGCCTGGCCTGGCCAGTCTGAGGTGAAGTGCCCCGGAAATGCCAGCTCTGAGCCCATGGGGCATCCCTTTGACACCAACCATTGTGAGATCCGAGCCAGCAGCCCCGCACATGTCACTGTGCCCCTTCCAGCCCTGCCAGTTCCCCATGGCCCTGGTCAACGGTGGGTTCCTGGCTGCTCCCAAGCCCCTGTTTTCAAGGGCATGTCACCTTGGCCACTAAGGGTTAACTCATGGCACCTCAGACCCGCTCCACAAACAAGGTCCTGCTCCATGTGAATGGTGCATCACTGGCAGCGTCCCACACTGGACACCAGCCCCTGCTGAGATCTGTCCTGGTGGCTCCAACATCTCCATTGTAAATGCTTTTGAAGGGGTAGGAATGAAATCCTGGCTCCACTGACAAGTGATGCCATGGGGCTGAGTACTGCTGACTGCAGCAGCCGGAATCCTGCAGCCCCTCAATAATGCACCAAACCTGGCCAAGCCGCTCCATGTTTCTGGAATGAAAAGGGCTGCATCCAGCTCTGGGGCAGCAGCACAAGAAGGATGTGGAGCTGCTGTGAGGGCTGGAGCAGCTCTGCTCTGGAGCCAGGCTGAGAGCTGGGCTGGTTCAGCCTGGAGAAGAGAAGGCTCCTGAAGGGGAGACCTTAGAGCAGCTCCAGTGCCTAAAGGGGCTACAGGAAACCTGGAGAGGGGCTTTGGACAAGGGCCTGTAGGGACAGGACAAGGGGAATGGCTTTAACCTGACAGAGGGGAGACTGAGATGAGCTCTCAGGCAGAAGCTCTTCCCTGTGAGGGTGCTGAGGCGCTGGCACAGGGTGCCCAGAGAAGCTGTGGCTGCCCCATCCCTGGCAGTGTTCAAGGCCAGGTTGGACACAGGGGCTTGGAGCAACCTGCTCTAGTGGAAGGTGTCCCTGCCTGTGGCAGGGGTTGGGACTGGAGAGGCTTTAAGGTCCCTCCCAACCCAAACCAGTCTGGGATTCTGGGATTCTATGAAATAAACCCATTTCTCCAGCCTGCAGCAATGCTCTGTGCCAGTGATGGGCACCTTTACCCTGGCTCCCCAGGAAACTCAACTTCAAAACAAACAGAAACCCAAAACTATTTATTCAGATCAAGGATCTCCCATGGAGCTGGGACCTGCCCCTCTGTAAGGTCTCAAGTCAGGGTGGGGGAACCAGTGAATGGAGGGATGCTGACAGGGGGATGCAGCAGTGATCAGCCTCTTCTCCCAGGAACAAGGGATGGGACAAGAGGAAACGGCCTCAAGCTGCACCAGGGCAGGTTTAGATGGAGCTGAGGAACAATTCCTTCCCCAAAGGGTGCTCAGGCACTGGCACAGGCTGCCCAGGGCAGTGCTGGAGTCACCGTCCCTGCAAGTGTTCTCACACCGTGTAGCTGAGGCCTCAGTGCCATGGGTTAGTGCTGGGGAACGGTTGGACTGGATGAGCTTAAAGGGCTTTTCCCACCTGGCTGGTTCTGTGATTCTATTCTAAGAAGTGGGGCAGAGACACTGTGCACCCTTGTGCAGTGTCCTGGGGCACAGACACAGCACTGGGGATGGTGACAGATGCTCCAGCATGATCAGGGGTCCCCAAGGTGCTCATCTCCCACAGCCTGACCCAAGCCACAGACCCATAACCTGAGCCTGTCCAGCACAGAAGGACGCTTCCCCCAGCACCCACCCCTCTGCCCTGCTGGACCGGGGGTCTGAGCTCCTGGAGGTGGGAGTCCTGGCTTGCAGGGGCAGGCAATGAGCTGCTGGTGGCCCTGCTGTCACCCATGCACACCCATGCAGGGACACCCTGCACTCACTGCCCTGCAGCCCCCATCCTGCTGGGGACCCTCAGAGCCAGGGGCACCCCAGTGCATGGAGCTGGGCACAGGGCTCCTGTGAGCCGGGGCGCAGCGGTGGCACCGGGGGGGTCAGCAGGGGTCCAGGCAGGAGGCAGGCACCGGGGTGCAGCGGAGCCTGGGGGGACAACAGGGACAAGGAGGGACCTTCCATGGGCTGCCAGTGAGCGGGAGCGGGGCTGCTGCCCGGAGCCAGGCCTGCGGGATGGGAATGGGGCTCAGGCATGGTATGGGGCTGGGCAGCATCCCCTCAGCCCCCACCCTGCTCCCTGTGGGACCCCCAGCCCACAGCAGCCACCCCACATTGCAGGAGGGAGGGGGGACCTGCCTCCCACACCCCCTGCACCCCATGGGGTTCCGCACCCTGACACCAGCTCCAGCCCTGTGCCCGGCGGTCCCAGCCCCATTCCCAGCCCTTTTACCACAGCAAGTGTCATCCCATGTGCCGGAGGTGCAGAGGTGCAGTGGGGCTGGGGGGCCACGGTGGCTGATGGGGCCATGGCCATGGAGGGGCTGTGGTGAACCCATGGGGGTGTCCGGGAGGTGCTGTGTGAGGAGCAGAGAGCAGGATGTCACAGAGCATCCATCCATAGGGATGCTTTAGGACCAGGCCATCCCAGTGGGTACCAGCAAAGTGTCACCCTCTAGCGTGGCTCCAGGAATGCCCCCTGGGATAGGCAGCACCTGGAAAGCTCAACATAGCCGGGCAATGGGAATGTGGGCTCCAGAGGGTGCCCAGAACCTGCTGGGTGCTGGTGGGACCTCCCCATCACCCCGGATGGAGGGAAGGGACCCAGCCATGTCCTATATGTGCAGAGCTAGTGGCTGTTGGGGATACGGGATGGAAAGCAGCCATAGATACCCCATGGAGCAGGATCCAGTGGCACCAGAAGGGAGGGCAGTGCTGGCTAGGGAGCCATGCAGGACCCAGACCTGGTTTTGGCTGGGGAAAGCCAGGGATGAAGCTTTCCTGCCTAGGGGGTAGCACATTCCCACTGGATGGATGCAGGCAGGCATCACCCCGTGCCATAGGCAATGGTTTGGGAGGGAGCTGCCAGGGGCCATCCTGGTCACAGGACTGGAGCTGCCATTCACCAGGGGGCACAGAGAGGCTGTTCCCTCTCCCCAGCTCCCACAGGGCTCTGGAGCTGGGACGCAAACCTGAGCATCCCGCTGCCCAGTGCCAAATCTCAGTGGGGTGACCCCCAGACCCCAGCCCCATCCTTGGGCATCAGATCCCCCAGTCCTGTCCCCATTGCCCTGGGCTATCACCTGCAGCTCCCACCTCCAGCTCCTGCTTGGCCTCCCGCCTCCGCTTCGCTCGCCGGTTGGAGAACCAGACCTGGGGAGGAGGAAGAGGATGAGGATGAGGATGAGGATGAGGATGAGGATGAGGATGAGGATGAGGCTGCAGCACCCCCCCCCCCGGCAGCACCCCCGCGCGACACCAACCCAGCAGCACCCACGCCCTGGCCCCACTCCAGCTCCTTGGCACAGCTCTTCATCCCAGAACATGGGCTCTTTGCACACCAATGGGCGTGGGGATGGAGATGGACATGGGGATGCACATGGCATGGGCATGGGAAGGGTATGGGAGGGGTGGTAATGGGCATGGGATGGGCACGGCTGTGAACAGAGGAAGGGGCTCGATCCCTCATCTTCTCCACTTCATCATGCTACAAGCACATGCTGGGCTCCAGGAGGTTCTCCAGCACAGGCATTGGGAAACGTGTGGATGCACGTGTATGTGTGTGCACCACCATGGTGTGGGGTGACCACATGGATGGCGAAGGTTTGCCAACAGCAATGGGATGTCTGCCTGGATCAGAGTGTGCCCTGGATGCATGTGTGAGCGGGATGAGTCTGCTGTGGGGGGATAGCAGAAGCAGGGAATGCGGCTGGAGCAGTGGCTGCGCTGGGATGGGACGTGCAGCATCATCCCCATCAGAGGCACTGGGCACAGGGCCTGCGTTGGTCCCCAGGATCAGATGTCCCAGCTGCAGAATGGCTCTCTGAGGGTCTGCTCTTACCCTGATGGTTGTGTCCGGGAGCTGGGTGGCCGCGGCCAGTCTCTGCCGGGTGTCGGTGTCTGGGTATTGTCCCCTCTGAAACTCTGCAAGGGGAATTGGGGTGGGATGAGCCTGTCCGGAGCCATGGCGCATGATCCAGCCGCTCCATCACCAGCAATCCAGAGTGGTTTGGAGCACCACAGCAACGGCCACGGCACTCAGAGGGGCGGGAGCCTATCCAGAACGTGTCAATGCCCTCCCCCGGGAATAGCCCCGCTCCATCCTGGCGCATCCCGGGGCTGGCACACTGACTGCCGCAGGCCCCGGTGTCCCCTGCCATGCCCCACCTCTCTCCAGGGCCTCCGCCTGCTGCCTGGAGAAGACCGTCCTGTTCCTGTGCGGGGTGCTCGGTGGGAGCCGCCGGGGCGGGTGCTGGGTCCCCAGGGAGGCAGCAGCACCAGCTTCAGCGGGCGAGCAGCATCCTGGGGGATGTGGGGCAGAGGGGACAGCGAGAGGGGACACTGCAGGGACAACGGGGAGAAGGTGGTGGGGACCTGGCCCTGGGGAGGGTCCATGGACCCCTTTGCACTGGGGCACAGGGTCAGTGCAGGAGCGTGATGAGGAGCACACGTGTGTTCATGCATGTGCATGCACACGTGAGGCAGGCGGTGGCAGGAGCTCTCTGCCTGCCCGGAGCAGGTCTATGCCATGGGGTGCCCCCCCCATCCCCTGCACCCCAGTGGTGCTCACCCCATGGCAGCGCGTCCCTCGCAGAGCCCAGCTCAGCCGCCAGCCGCAGGTCACTGGGCAGCTTCCTCAGCACCCGGTTGATGGAGGAGACCTGGGCAGGGGAGACGGGGCTGTGCCGTGGGCAGGGGGTGCTGGGGGAAGCCCCCATCATGGTGGGCATCACTCTGCTCCCTGCAGGAGCTGGGACAGGCTCAGCAGCACCAAGGCTGGAGGGATGAGGCTGATGCCCCAAAGCTTATCCCAGAGGTGCTCACCCACAGCCACACCTGAGCACGTGCCAGGGGTTCTCCATCTGCTCGGCTCTTTGTTGATATAGGCAACCCCTGCATTTCAGTGCACTTACAGCATCCAGCGTGAGGCAGCCCGCACCTCGGGCTGGAGACAGTGGGATTTATAGGACTGGGTCTGGCATTAGGAAGTGCAGCTCAATAGGACAAGAGGAAACGGCCTCAAGCTGCACCAGGGCAGGTTTAGATGGAGCTGAGGAACAATTCCTTCCCCAAAGGGTGCTCAGGCACTGGCACAGGCTGCCCAGGGCAGTGCTGGAGTCACCGTCCCTGCAAGTGTTCACACACCGTGTAGCTGAGGCCTCAGTGCCATGGGTTAGTGCTGGGGAACGGTTGGACTGGATGAGCTTAAAGGGCTTTTCCACCCCAGTTTATCCCGTGATTCTCTGGTTCTCTCTGCCCTGATGCTGCAGATCACATCTTATTGTCTCTGCTGACCAGTGGCACAGGGAGCAGCCCCACCTCGGGGTCTCCATGCCCAAGATCATGGCCAAGTTCGCTGGCGCTGGCTGGTGGGGCTCTGCTTTAGTGGGAGGGAGTGATCTGCTTCCCCTCCCTGCCTACTCCTCCCTGCACCATCCCGCCCTTCCCTGCAGAGCCTTCCCATCCTTCCCAGGACTCACGCTGGGGATCCTGCTGCTGGTGCAGGTGCCCTCAGCATGGAGCTGCCTGCGGATCTCCCAGGCAAACAGGGAAGGCTGCTCCAGCTTCATCTGAGCGATCCTGGCCACCACCTCGGGGGTGGCCGTGCGGGGCTTGCTGCCCCCCATAGCTTTGGGCCCCACGGCCCCTGTCCTGTAGTAGTGACCCAAGATCTTGCTGACGCAGCCATTGGACACCTGCGGGTGGGATGGATGGGGCAGAGGCTCAGCGGGAAATGGGTTTGGAGAAGGAGATCCCCCCATTCCCAGAGGCTCCCACCTTGAGGCTGCGGGAGATGTCGGAGCTCCGGATGCCGCAGGCTGCCAGCTCGATGATCCGCCTCCTCTTGCAGGCAGGGAGGGGGCGGCCGTTCAGGAAGAGCCCCCCCAGTTGGTTCACGCTGCTGGGCCCTAGGGGGGGCCGAGCAGGAGACAGGGACAGAGCTTGTTGGGGGGGGGGGGGGGGATGGTGCTGGCTCTTCCCAACCTGGCTCCCAGGAGAGCACCAGGGTGAAGGATGGTGGCACAGGGGGTCTCTGGGCACTGATGGGGATTGGGAAGGGAGGGGCATTGGAAGGGGCTGGGCAGGAGGGTTTGGAGCTTGAAGCAATGTGGGGCACGTTGGCTGGGGTGTGGGTGCAAGCAGCGTGTGGCAGGAGCAGGCAGGGAATGGGGGGGTTCATCAGGTGATGCTGAAGGGATACCCCGTGGAGGAGGATGGGGAGGAGGCTGCAGGGGAAGGTAGCTGCAATGGGGGTGATGGGCTGGAATGGGCAGGGAAGCACTGGACATCATTGGAATGGCTTGTGTATCAGCTACCAGCACCCAGTGCAGGCTTTGGAGGGGGGAGAGAAAGCAGCCTCATTTGTGATGGGGCAAAAGCTGACACAGCACATCCCCAGTTTCCTGAGGACCACGGACACAGGGACCATGCGTGGGGTGCAGCTGCATCCCTCACCTCGGTGTTGCATCGTGGTGAGGCTCCACAAGGCGGCTGGGAATTGCAGAGAGGAGATGGTGGCTGCTAGGAGGAAGGATCGATCAGTGACAGTGGCCAGGGCTCAGCCATGTCCCCTTGTCACCCTCCTGCAAGGAGAAGGGAGAGCAAGGGCAGAAACCCTCAGCAGAGGATGGAAACACTAGATAGATTCTGAATGCTTGGAAAATCTTTGCTTTCCAGGCACAGGGGATCAAAGGTACCTGGATTTAAATAGCTCACAGGGCTGCAAAAGGCACTTGGGCTCTGAAGTGGCTGGGAGATGCTGGGATGCTGGAGGGAGATGCCAGGAGAGATGGGTTGGTGACAACCAGGATACCAGGAGCCTCCAATCCTTCAGCTGGAGATGCTCTGCCCCCTCCTCTGCCAGAAAAGCAAGGCAAAGCAGCCTTGATCTTGCCCCACATGCTGGGGACACACTCCCAAAGCTCCTGCCCTTTCCCATCCCCAGCCCTTCTCTTTGCCCCCTAGCACCTTCCCTCGCCCCAGAGCCTGACCTAAGGCATCCCCCATGGATCTGGTGGGTCCTGCTCTAGTGGAAGGTGTCCCTGCCTGTGGCAGCGGGTTGGAACTGGATGAGCTTTAAGGTCCCTTCCAACCCAAACCATGCTATGGGCGACAGGAAGCAATTCCTTCTCCAGCAGCCTGTCTGCTCCCCAGCTACCCCAGGATTTCACTTGAAACACCCTATACACTCCTGGACACCCCCAGAGGGGGCTTGTCCTGCTCCAGCCCCCAAATCCCACTGCAGCCGTGGTGCTGCTTGCCTGCAACAGCTTGAGTCAGTGTTTGGGGACGCTCACCCCGGCTGTGAGAGTCAAGAAAAGCAAACTGAATCCATCAAGGGGACAAGTGGGCAGATTTCCCACAGGTGGAAAGAAACCAGCCCTTCCTCTTGTTCGGAAAGGGATGCATCCTCCTGGAACAAAGCACCCGAGGCTGCTCCAGGAAGGAGGGAACAAGCAGCACGGGCACAGCCTCCAGCACTGGTTCCCCAGCTTTGTTCCCAGCCAAGGGCTTGGCTTCTGCTATGCCGGGATGCGACATGGGGATTTCTTTCCACATGGAGAAACAGGTGCACTGGGAATGGCGAGCTAGGAGCCCACTGTCCCCCTTGGTCCGGCTGGGGGTCCTTGGAGAGGGGCTGAGCTGGGGCTTTGTGCACGTAGGGGTGAAGAGAGAAGTGAATGAAACGGGACTTGATCAGGCTGGTGCAGAGCAGACCATTCCTGAAGAACCCAAAGCCTTCTCCATGTTAAGGCACCTTCACCACCCAAATCCTACTGGGAATTGCTCCCCACACAGTATAAGAAGTCACAACCACCCCAGGCAGCCCTCCCGTGCCTGAGCTTGCCCTGTGCTACCCTCCATGTGTGTATAAGCATGAGTCTGTGCACACGCATCCACACACATCCAAGTGCTTCTGCATGTATGGGCACACACACACATGCATGTGCTCCTTTCTCCCCGTGCCCAGCGGCACGCACATGTGCACACGCTTTTACACGCACCCGTGCCACCATCTGCACATGCATGTGCGTGTATGTGCGCACAGGTGACTGTGGCAGAGCGCAGGGATGCCCGGAGGGATGCAGGGGGGTACCTGTGGAGCTGAACCGGATCGTCCTCGAAGCCAGCCGGGTGCTGCCGAGCCGGAGCCGGTGCCGGTGCCGTGCGGGGTGGCTGCCGAAGGAGCGGGACCGTGATGTCACGGGGCAGGAGGAAGAGGAGGATGGGGAGGAGGAGACGGCCCGACAGTGACCGGGAGGCCGCGCCCAGCGCACGCCCGGCCCTGGGGGCTCTGTCGGAGACCAGAACCGGTGGCCGGGGCTGGTGGCTCCGAGACCCACCGGACCCCCTTGAACAGGGCAGTGCGTGGGTACCGCTGCTACCGGCGGCGTTTCAGCACCGGCGCCCGGTGGACAGCGCGGCCCCCGCTGCAGCCCCGGTAACCCCCGGCGGAACCTCCCCGCGCTCCAGAGAGCCCCTCAGAGCAAACAGGGGCAGGCCATATGGGCAAGCGCTTGGGATTCGCTCATAAACCCAGATTCGGGGCTATAGCATGTATTAAATTTATTGTTTTAGGGGGGTTCTCTGCGTTTTGGAGGGTATTGGACAAACACTGGGGCGCCCGGGGGTGGCGGGACCAGCGGGGACATCCCGGTGCGCAGATGGCCCTTTTCTTAGGAGATAAAAACGTAAAATAAACCACGTTGTAAACGTTTCAAAGTAAAATATTTGAAGAGCAAATATTGGCCCCAGAGGAGCCCGGAGCCCCGGCCCTCCGCGCCCGGCCCCGCGTGTCACCGAGCGTTATTAGCACCCCGGTCCCGGCCCCCCGCTCCTCGCACCGCCGCCCGCCTTTGCAAAATGCCATATGCTCCGAATTACACATTAACCACAGTCTCGCAGGGCCCGGGCCCGGTCCCGGCCCCCGGGAGCCGCCGCGCCGCCCCCCCGCTCCCCACGGTGTCCCCCCGCATCCCGCCCCGGGGCCGCCCGTGGGGCTCCCGGCAGCGCGGGGAGCGCTGGAAGCCGGGCCCGGACCCCCCCGCTCCGCCCCGGCCGCCTGGAGCCCCGACGGAGCCCCCCGCACCGGGGGAGCCCCGTGCGTAACGCAGCGCCGGGCGGCGGGGAGCGGGGCGCGGGGCTGAGCCCCGGGGCGGGGAGGGCCCCGCGGCCTTGGGTCGGTCCCGCCGCTCCCCCCACGGTTGGTGCGCGGCAGGGGGGCAGCGGGCGGGCCCGGGAGCGGCCAGCGCGGCCCCCCGGGGCTGTGTGAACCGGGCCGGGCGCGCAGGCGGCGTGCGGGGAGCGACGCGGTCACCGGGCTGGTGCGGCGGGGGATGGAGGGGCCCGGAGCGGAGCCGGCTGCGGGGGGACCCCGCGGGGCTGTCCGGAGCTCAGGGGGGCCCGGAGGAGCCCCTTGGACCGGGGGAAGGAGGCAGCGGCGGGCGCCGGGGCCGTGCGTCCTCGGCGCGGAGCTGGCCCGGCGGCGGGGAACGGGAACTGGGAAAGGGAACGGCCCGGGAGGGCATGGGAGGGCCGCGGAGGAGAGGGGAGGGAAGGGGGAGACGGGGAGGTGGGAAGGTAGAAAGATGGAGAGGTGGAGAGAGGGTGAAATGGAGAGATGGAGACATGGAGAGATGGAGAGATGGAGAGATGGAGAGGTGGAGTGATGGAGAGGTAGAGACATGGAGAGGTGGAGACATGGAGACAGAGATGTAGAGACATGAAGACATTTACACATGGAAAGATGGAGAGGAGGAGAAACGGAGAGAGGGACTGATGGAGAGGTGGAGATGTGTGAAGACAGAGACAGAGTGATGGTGAAACAGGCAGACAGAGATGGAGAGGTGAAGACATGGAGACATGGGGAGGAGCAAACAAACATGGAGAGATGGAGACATGGAGAGAATGGAGGGGAGGAGAGGTGGAGAAATAGAGAGGAGGAGAAACTGAGAGAAAGAAAGGTGGAGAGGTGATAAGACAGAGAGCGACGGTGAAATGGGTAGACAGAGATGGAGAGATGGAGACACAGATGTGGAGAGAGGCAGAGAAATGGAGAGGTAGTAAGACAGATGGAGCAATGTTGAAATGAGAAGACAGATGGAGAGGTGGAAATATGGAGTTACGGAGAGATGGAGATGTGGAGAGCTGGAGTTGCAGAGACATGGAGAGGTGGAAGGACAGAGGTGAAGTGACAATGAAATGGGGATACATGGAGAGGTGGAGACTTGGCCATGTAGAGACATGGAGAGGTGGAGAGATGGAAAGACAAAGAGACAGAGTGGTGTTGAAATTGGAAGACAGAGAGATGTAGAAGTAGAGAGGTGAAGAGGTGAAGAGGAGAGATGGGAAGGGTGAGAGATGCTCCAGGTGCCACCGTGTCACCTGCATTTCATGCTCACTCCTCTCCACCTCCCTTCAAACTCAGGAGAGAGCTCTGCAGACATAACTCTCTAGTGGGCAATGCAGCAGCACTGGGCCAGTCTGGGAACAAGGATGGCCACAGGATGGGATCCAGCTGGAGCTGCGGAAATGCCAGTCCTTGCTTCCCTGCCTTCCCTCAGGCATGGGCAGGCACCTCCTGTGCCAGGACCTTATGGTGCATGGGGACTGTGGATAAAGCTGTCCATGCCCCCTGCTGCAGGACCCCACTGCTGATTCCAGAACTTCAGTTTGGATCATGGTGAATACCATGAGCACGTCCCCAGTATCAGCAGCCTCCAGGCAGCACCTTCACACCATGGCAACTGTAAATGGGAATGCTTGGGAGAGCTGGAAAAGGGAGTGCTACCCAGGGAAAGGGATTGAATGCTGGGTTCGCCTGGGACAGGGTGGGGATGCTGTCCTCTGGTAGGAGGGGGACCTTGAGGAGAGGGAGGACAGGATGGGGATGCTGTGCTTCCCAGGAGAAAGACAACGGTGCTGAGAATCCCAGGTGCAGAACAGGGATGATGTGCTTGCTGTGGGATAGAACAAGGATGCTGAGAATCCCAGGGGTAGGGTAGGATAGGGATGTTCAGCATTTCGGGGTAGTGAGTATCTCAGGGGTAGAATGGGGATGCTGTGCTTTATGGGGGAAGGACAAGGATGCTGGGCATCCTGGAGGAAGGATAAGGATGCTGAGCATCCCAGGGGCTCTTTGGGTTTTCAACAGCTGGCACATGGTGGTGCAGGATGAAGTGGGTGCAGCATGAAGTGTGTGCAGGATGGGGTGGGTGCAGCAATAAGAGTTGTGCACGGCTGCTGGTGCAAGTGGGGATGAGATGTGGGGGTGTGTTGGGATGGAAAGGGAATGGGAGGGATTCACTTTTGCTTCTTAGCAAACGTGAGCTTGGCATGAGCATGGCATGAGTGTGTCATGAACATGGCATGAGTGTGGCATGAGAATGGCCATGAGCATGGCATGAGAGAGCCATGGGCATGGCATGAATGTGGAATGAATGTGGGATGAGTGTGGCATTGAGTACA